GCCAGCACAAGAACTGAGACCATGGCACAGCCAGCGGGGATAGGCAGAGATTTCTAAGATAGAAGCACTGCAATGTGGGCTGCAGGGCTCAGGAGCCTGTGCTTTTCAACAGACCAACTAAGAAAATGGTGAGGAGGACTGGGGTATACTGCAATGCAGGACGAGGCTTGATCCCCAGTACCACACAGGAGGAGGGAGGGGGGAGGGAGGGAGGAGACCAGACTGGGAGTAGACCAGACTGAGAAGGCACTGGATTCCCAGTACATACAGTGTTCCAAATTATCACAACTTGATAATAAGACAAATAGTCAATTAAAACGAGTGAAAACGAATGATGCACACCTGTGATCCTAGCAACTCAGGAGGCCAAGGCAGGAGGACCACAGTTCCAGCCTGGCCTGAGCAATGCAGTGAGGCCCTGTCTCAAAATACAATAAAAAGGGGTAAGGGTGTGGCTCAGTGGTAGAGCGCCCTGGGTCCAATCCCCAGTACTGGAAAAAATAAAGTAAAGGTAAAGTAAATAAGGGTAGAATACCTGAAAAGGCACCTGATAAAAAAGCACAGACATCTCTCCCAGGTACACACACAGGAAAGCACAGGAGAACCCACCTCAGGAGAACCTCGTTCCACAGCTGAAGTGAAGACTGCACCAAGCATGGGCTCAACAGCACGGCCACTGAAACTCTGCCTTGCCAGTGGAGTTTAAAGGACACAGCCACTCTGGAAAGCGTTCAGATAGCTGCTTCTAAACTATGGTTCAAATATACTGCTATATTTAAGTTACATACACGTATCATGTGATTTAAACATTTACTTGAATGCATGAAAACACATCAGCACACAGAGATGTGCGCCAAACAGACTCCTAGAACCTACATCAAAATAGACAACATCAGCTGGGCATGGTGACTCAGGTCTGTAATCCCAGCAGCTCAGAAGGCTGAGACAGGAGGATTGCAAGTTCAAAGCCAGCCTCAGCAATGGTGAAGTGCTTAGCAGCTCAGTGAGACCCTGTCTCTAAATAAAATACAAAATAGGGCTGGGGATGTGGCTCAGTTGCTGAGTGCCCGAGTTCAATCCCCAGTACCAAAAAATAAATAAACATCAGCAACAACCCAAGTGCCCATCAGCAGGGGATGATAAATCATGGTGCATTTATATAACAGAATTCCAAGCACAAAAACAGCAAACTGCTGATGGATGCTCAATCAAAGAGGCTAGACCCAGGAAGATCACACAGCGCAAAACACTTTATCAAAACAAATCCCCATGAAGAAAGCAGATCGGCAGTGCCTAGGGGTCAGCTGCACAGGAGCACAAAGCAGGGTTCCACAGGTGGCAGAACACAGCCTCCATCCTAGTGGCTATTAAATGGTCAGCCAACATGATGGCCACACTGCAATGCCAGATGCTTGGGAGGCTGAGGCAGGAGGATCACATGTTCAAGCCAGTCTGGGCAACTTGGCCTGACCCTGTCTCAAAATAAAATTTTTTAAAAAGGGCTGGGGATTTAGTTCAGTGGTAGAGCTTGTCTAGCATGTGTGAGGCAGAGTTCTATCCCTAGCACCATCAAAAAAAAAAAAAAAAAAAGTTACTGTCACTTGTCAAAACGCAAAGAATCACATCCATTTGTTACATACAAGTTATACCTCAGCAAGGCATTTTTTCAAAATAGAAAAAGAAAGCAATGGCCTGGCCATCAATAAAAACTAAAAAGAACCTCTGGAAGGCAGACCTTGGTGAAACCTTGGAAAACCCAGGAAAAAAGAGAACCCAAATACCTAACCACCACAGAGATGTTTCAGGAACCCACAAGGACGGCTTGGCTGCTGCAGTCCCAGACAAAGGACAGCTACACAGCACCCCCGGGTGCTGGGCCGAAAGGTAGTGTCTCAGAGGTACACAGGGTGTGCAAGGAACCAAGGTTCAGGCCAAGAGGAGGCAAAGGCAAGTCCAAGATGGCAGACATGCAGACAGCCTAGGCTGCCACCATCTCAGTGGGGGCAGGACGGGGTCCCAGAGGGATGCCACAAGAAAAGGATCTCGGCTCACTAGACAGGCCTTGAAGCTGCTGAAGACTGGGAGGCCTCGGAGGTGCGCTTGGGAGAGGACCCCAGAAGGGCAGTGCACATGGGGAAGCCTGAAGGATGCTCCATCTTACTGACCAGGGAGTCCCACCTGAAAACACTGGGAGGTGTGTGCAGTCTGCACACTGGTGGCAGCAGAGGACCCCGGTTGAGAGGAAGCCCAGGAACCGAGAGTGGGAGAGCACACAAGGCCCCCAGCGCACCACAGCCACACCAGGCACAGCCTGGCAAGGTGAGCCTGAGCTCCTCTGGATATGCCAAGGAAGCAGCCTGTCATATCGGGTTGGGAAAGAGGCCATGATAACAGACAAGAAACAGCACTCGGGGTAAGAAGGGAACACCCCGCCACTCAACCTCAAGTCTGATCCAGGAGAAGGGGCTGGGGACAGAGGCCACAGGAGCTGCGAGCATCGTAGCACAATCCAGGTCAGTAGCTGTGTCCACTGGGGACAAGCCAGGAGGAAGCCAGATGCAATGGTATGTACCTGTGATCCCAGCTGCTCAGGAGGCTGAGGCAGAAGGATTGCTTAAACCCAGGAGTTCAAGGCCAGCCTGAGCAGTATACCAAGATCTAGCTCAAAGAAAATAAGAAATGCATATGGTGTGACATCTGCAAATTTTTTTAAAAAAATACATCATCATAGCCAGGCATGGGGCATACACCAGTGGCCTCAGCGACTCAGGAAGCTGAGGCAGGAGGACTGCTTAAACCTAGCCTGAGCCATATGGCAAGATCCTGTATTAAGAACAAAAAAACCAAGCTGGGTGTGGTGGCACATGCCTGTAATCCCAGTGACTCAAGAGGCTGAGGTAGGAGGATGGCAAGTTCAAGACCAGCCTCAGCAACTTGGTGAGACCCTGTTGCAAAGTAAAAATAAAAAGGGCTGGGGATGTGGCTCAGTAGTTAAGCACCCCTGGTTCAACCCACAGAACCAAAAAAACAAAAAAAAAAAGGGATATAGAAGCCAGAAAAACCCATAAGGACCATGTGGCCTCTGGAACACATGGATATGAACTTGTAAACATCTGCCATGTCCACGGGCAACAGGGGCAGGAACCTCAGAAAACCGTGTATAAACACATGGCAAACACTGGAGAAACCTGATCAAACAGGGAGGGAGAAATGTGCTCCTCCCCAAAGGAACACAGGCTTTATCCTGTGGGGAGAGTCACCTTTCAAAGGGGCAAGTATTTATTAATGACATCCAATTTATGGAAGAATTGGGAGACAGGGCACCCAGAAAGACTAATGGCATGATAAAAACACACAGCCTTCAAAGGTCGGTTCTGGCAAGAGAAGCAGAAGTCATTAAAAATGAACACCTGCACCACAACCATTCCCTTGCTGAAACATGGTCTGAGGAAATGCTGGAGACTGTCCAAGAGGCAGTGCAGAGAAGAGAGACAGCCTCCATCAGCAGGGGTCAGCCGGGTGGCAGGGAGACGCCCGCTGCCCTCACCGACCCAACCTTGACTTACCTGGGATGTGCTTAGATAAGGTCCAACTGTGTCTCTAAATCTACATGTAACCCACATAAACAAAAACTGTAAGGACCATCAGAATGTCAACCATTTTCACATGGTAAGATCATGGGTCAGTTACGTTTGTCCTTTCACCCATTCATAGTTTCTGAATTTTCTGTAAAAACCATATCATTTGTTTTATAATAAGTCAAAAACTGAATATTTGCCCACAGGAAGATCCTACTAGAGTTTCAGAAATGTCCTGAAGCTCAGTTTCTAATCCCATTTTTAACCAAGTTCCTACAGCACCTCCCCCTGGCACCGGCCTCACATGAGACATGGTGCCCACCTCCAGAGGTGCCCTTACAGGCAGAGATGGCGCTAACCAGCATCCAGGTCCAAACTAGGCCCAGAGGCTCCAAAGTGAGACCCAGCAAAGACAGCAGCACTCACCTTCCCCTGCCACAAGATCACAGGTGTAAGGGAGCCGGACAACCCACCTGATCCCCCAAACTCTCATCTGGAACACAAATCAATTCAAGAACAAGGTGACTATCTGAGCAGAAGTCCCAGCACAAGCCTTTCCCAATTCCTGACACCAATCTGCTTGTCATAGCAGTTTAAGGGGAGCCAGCAAAGGGAGCCATTAGTCCAGCTTTTGCACACGCACACACTTATAAGCAAAGAATTTAAAAGGTCTCACAGGGTCACATCTTCAAGCACGCTGAGGTAACTTCACATGGGGCTGCACAATCTTGTCTCCTTTGGCTCCTGATGCCCACTCAAACACCGTTTACAAATAAGGATGCTTACAAACCACAGACTTTGGGAAGGTAAACTCATGAATAAGTACACATACTAAAGATGAAAGTTCTTCATGTGTATTGTATAAAAACTGCACTGTAAATTTCTAAATGTGAGGAAGCTGGGCACAGTGGCACACATCTGTAATCCCAGTGGCCTGGGAGGCTAAGGCAGAAGGATCACAAGTTCAAAGCCAGCCTCAGCAACTTAGGGAGACCCTGTCTCAAAATAAAAAACAAAAAAGGGCTGAGGATGTAGCTCAGTGGTTAAGTGCCCCTGGGTTCAATCCCTGGTACCAAAAATAAAAAGCGTTTAAATGTAAAAGGGAAAAACAATATTTAACAAGAAGACACCATGTGCCTCCTAAGAATCAATGTTTTCTAAAACTGACCTGCACACAGGTGCCAAAGATAAAATGAGGATCCATTCATTTGTTTCAACCATACCCATGTACTGCATTTTCAAAGACCACTCATCTTGCTCACTCTGGATGCCCAGGAGAAAGGCCTGTTCTGTTTTTAAACTATTGCAGACACCTTGCTGGTCACAGCATCCAGTAGTCCCAAATGATAAGACCCAGCAGCCAGGTCCCTGTCTGAGAGTCAGTATGTGCTCTCAGGGAAGGAGGGCTCAGCAGGCGCTCACCTTGTTGATCCAGAACACCATGGCATCCTCGAGGTCGTAGGGAAGTTCTTTCGAGGCGCTGAATGTAGAGAAGCGCTTGACGCTGGCCACCACCTTCTCGATGCTGATCATCTCCACGGTGTAGGCCATCATCAGGGCGTCCACCATGGCCATGTGGGCGCTCTGGGGCAGAGGCCACAGTCAGTACTCCTCTCCCAGCAGGTCCCACATGGGAGCCCACCCAGATAGCTCTTTTCCATCCTCCCCGTGGGAAGAGACACTCACTCCAGTGCACATGCCCCTCACTGGATCACACCTGGGCTCTGGCCCACCAGCCTCAGGGTGGTCAGGAAGCACAGCATCCCTTCTCAAGCAAGGCCAGCACCGGGGCTGGGTGGGTTCCAGCCCCTCATCTCCTTAGCCCCAGCAGCCCATGAGCTTTCCTGGCAGGTGGAGTACTGCCTAGTGCAGCCCCATGTGGGAAAGCTGTGAGAAGAGGCTGCCCATGCCCATGCCAACACATGCCTCCAGCTGCCACCCCAAGCCCATGCACACAGCACGCCTTCTCACGGGGCACCAAGAACCTTCTCTTCACCTACAACAGGCACCCTTCCAGTGAGAAAGACCACAGAATACAGAATGCCATGACGTGCCCGAAAGGAGAAATGTAGGGTACCAACAGGCGCTGGAACAGGACAGGCAGCAGGGGGGCCGTGGACAAGGCCTGCTCAGGGGAGAGGGGCATGCCCACTGGCACTGGCACTAGAAGACCCACAGGACAGACACGTAGCCACCTAATAGGAAGGCCTCCACAAGGACATGTGGGCCACTACAGTGGCCTCAGTGCCTCTGTTCACAAGCCCGCTCCCTCCCGCTGCCAGAGGGTCTACACATGTGAAAAGACACGAGCCACTAAGAGCCACCACTGCCCATGTGCCAGCCTCGCCTCTTGTATGCCTGTTCGCAGGGCACTATGCCTTGCCCATGCGGCCAACTGCAGAGGACAGGGTGTGCCCACTACAGACACTCACCATCTTTATGGGTGCGTGGCCCAGGTCTGCGTCTGTCACAGGGGTGTCGTCACTCTCCATCACATAGATGCCCTTTCGGGACAGAGCCTGGATGACAGATTGGTGTCCTTGCAAGGTGGCTGCCTGGTCCCCCTTCAGGATGAGGCTGCAGACACGGCAGTACAGCTCACTGGACAGGAGCAGCTTGATAACAGGTGGCTTAATGTGCTCCTGCTCATACTGGTCAATGTAGAAGGGGTCTCTGAGGTCCTCGGGGATGTTATCTAGAGCAAAGAAAGAGCACCGTGAGTGAGGTGCACACAGGGCACGCCTGCCAGCAGCGGCAGCCAGGCTCTTCTCAGCTGTGTAGATTAGCAGACCACGCTACAGAATCACCACTGTGACTCCACCCAATATGGCCCTGTCCCTGCATCCAGCTAAGAAAACCCAGGCACAGAGAGGAACAACATGCCCAAGGTCACCAGAGGCCAAAACCAACTCTGAAGCAGGGAGCCAAACGCACATGTGCCAGGTAAGTGCACCACCGCCACCACAGTTCTGCCCTATATACCACCCAGCTTGCTCCTAGACTCATCTGCAAGAGGTCAGCAGCTGTCCCACAGAGGGAGGTCTCTACAGTCAATCTAAGAGCACCGAGTCCCACAAACCTAACCCACTCAGTCTGAGACAGTGCAGGCTGCAGCACTTCTGAATTGTCCACACCTCCACAAGTGTTTAGAAAGAGCCACCATTCCCAAGGAAGGCCAGTGTTGAAATCACGAACGTACCAGGGAGGCTCATGCTTCCTGAGTCAGGCCCTGCCTGAGCAGAGCAGAGCAGAGCAGATCCTTTTTCAAAGGCCCCTCTCTCCCTCTGTTCCTGTCTCCTTTTGTTTCTCATGGGTGCTGTTTTCTGAGACCCAGGCCACTTAACATGGGTCTGTAGATCCTCATCGCAGCCCCAGTCTCAACTCCTGGCTCTCAGTTTCTTCTTTCTGAGTGTGGCCAGCCAGCATTCACATGGCACTCTAGTTTTAAAGCACTGAGATGCTTAGTGACCACAGCAGCTCTGAGGGTGGACAGGGCAAGTCAGCTCCAACTCTGGAAGGCTACAGTGGTTCTGCTAAGCTCAGAGAGTGTCACCAGGGCCAACCTCACACTCGCCGACTACCCTGGAAAGCCACCTAGTTTGAAGTCACCTGTAGCTCTGAACAAAACAGACCACATCAATGATAGAAGGACCAGGCTCCAGCATGCAGCACCATAGGAGGGCCTTTGGCTTGCTGTGCTTCACTAAGCAGTCCAGGAAAGCCCTGCCCCAGAGATGGGAGCAGGGACAAAAGAAGGCAAGGGGCATCCACACATGGGAGCAATATGTCCTGGGAGGAAAGTGTGGTGCCCAGGGACAGGCAGCCTGCAGAGCAGAAACTGGGAAGGGCACCAGGCAGGAGCCCCAGGTTCGACGACAGTTTCAGAAGTTTATGCTGCCAGGGAAGGCTATAGGTCACCTCACCTGCCCTCTGCTCTCCTTCTACCTCACTGCTGCCTCAGTCGCCCAAGACTGCAAGGCTATGTCCTACCTCATGTCCGAGAAGAGCGCATTTAGCCTCAAAGCTTCAAAGACCACAGCTGTGGGGTGACCTCAGATGTACCTTCTGGCTGTGGCCACCACCTTGAGTGCCTATGTGATGTTTCCACATGGGGCCTAGGGCCCCTTGAGCCCCATCAGCTGACCAACACCATCCTCCCTCTGACCTGAACTATGGGCTTCTCTCTAGAAGGGCAGGAGCCGCCACAACTCATGGGGACCCTACAGGGTCCTGATCCTGTGCAAGCATGGGTGGGCAAGCAAAGACTGAACTAAAGCCCCAACCTGGTGAAGATGCCCACCGGAAAGGCAGGGGCTGGCAAGGCAGGTCTGAGTAGCGGCTCTCCTGGACCATCGGCCCCACAGCGATGCTTCGCTGGGCCACAGTCAGCAAGGAGGGGTTCACACCAGCGGCTCTTCGAATCCCGTATGTATATGAATACTGTAAGACACCCCCGGATGCTTCAGGATCACAAGGGGAGAGCCAGGGGACAGTGGTGCTCACGCTGGAATAATGGCTCCAGACCCATGGACTCCTCAGTGTGTGCCACAGGGCCACTACAGCCCCACTCAGTAAGGAGCCACACTCCCTGGTCCAGTGGGGCAGTGACTGCCCTCATGCTGAGCTGTTGGTCCCTCAAGAACTGATGTGCACAGACCTGATGTCCTTGATGTTTACTAGGAAGCAGCTATTTCAAACAGCTTCATAGATGCCTTCAATCTCTTTCTATTTTTCATTTCTTCTGCAATCCAGTAATGCAGATTGTCAGAACTATTTATTCACTCAACAATTAGCAAGCACCTCTGTGAGCCAGGAAGGTACAAAAATGCTGGGAAGCCAGGAGGGGGCAAGAGACACTGCAGTGGGCTGATGCTGAAGAAGATGCCAAAGTCAGCAGGCAACTTCCCAGGTGCAGAGGGAGCACACAGGGAGGGGTCAGCAGACAGCCCAGCACTGAGGGGGTGGGGGTGAGCTGTGCAGGTGGCCAAACTTCCAGGCGAAAGGAAAAATGTTCCAATGACCCTTGCCTGGCAAGTTTAGGGAACTCAAACTCAGTGCTTCACTAACTTGTTCATAGACTTTTTTCTTTTTTTTAGTTGTACGTGGATAGAATGCTTTTATTATGTTTATTTCTATATGGTGCTGAGAATCAAGCCCAGGACCTCACAAGTGCTAGGCAAGCGCTGTCCCACCGAGCCAAGCCCCAGCCCTGTTCACAGACTCTTAACTGAGCACCTGCTACACGCCTGCCCTCTCTGTGGGCTGTCAGGGAACAGGCAGGCTGAAGAACTTAAGGCACACAGCAAGGGAATGGACTAGGTCAGGTTGGGTCAGGGGCTGGGGAAGCTGGAGGAAAAAGAGTTACTTAACACCTGCTTGTCTTCCCCGTGCAAAGTGAAGGATGGGCTGGACACCAGGAGGCAGCTGTGGTCCCGCCTTCTGCAGCAACACCCCCCGCCTGCCTACAGTTTCCACCTAGCTATTCCCTGCCAGGGTATTAATGCACTGACTGGGTTAAGGCTCTCATAACCCAATCATCTCACCTCATAATGTTCTTACGTTGTCTCTCACATGAGCCCTGGGGCACTCTTCACATTCAGAGAGTGGGCATTTGGATCTGTATATGAGGTCCTGGACACCCCAAGTGGCCGCATGTGAAATCCAATGCAGCCATACAGCGACTCCAAGAGCTACACCAACAGTCTGGGTTTCACACTGGCACTCCACGACCACCCAGCAGGGCCACAGGGTAGACGGTGAGCTGCAGCCAACAACCTGGTGGGCCAGCTGCTAAAGCCAGCAAGACCAGCCTATCCCAGCTTTCCAATAAGCCCACAACTGCAAAGCAGAATCTCTCAGATATCCACACGTCACCCACAATAACGCAAGGAAGAAAGAACAAGCAGGGAAACCCAAAGCCCCCAAAAGAAACATTATCAGTAGAAGCCGGACGGCGGAACTGCCCTACAAAGGCTTTAGAGAAAGCATCTGAATGTGCTTCCCACAGTAAGGGCAACCCCTGAGATAAACAACACTAACACAAAACACAAAACTCTGGGGACAGAGAAGCCTGTGAGGGAAACCAAAAGCCAGGTGCCGGGGAACAGAAAGATGGGCAGGAACTCGCACAGCCTTCCACCTTCCCCAGCAAGGCCTGGCTTCCCCTTGGGGCCAGCTCAGCATCCCCAGACACCAGATCCTCCCGACACAGGGGACCAACCTGAGCAGAGGGCTCACCATGCACAACCACCTGCCACCCTCATCAGGCTTCATGGCCACAGTGCAGGGACAGCTCCTCCAGGAGGACAGGGCCATCCTACATGTATCACAGTCACCCCTGAGACTGAGACACAGCCAAGTAACCCGTCGGAACACAGGGAAGTAAGAGCTAGCCGTGGCACCCGAGCACAGGAGTCCCTTAGATCACGTGGGAGGTCCACTTCCAGGATTCTGGCCAGCAAGCAGAGAGCAGCGTGACCATAACCCCTGCTCAAGGCTGTGTCAGCCCAGCCACATCCAGGGGAACCAGAGTCCTGAGAGCCAAGGCGGAGGCCATTTCACCTGAGACACTCACGCTCTCTCCTGGTTTCCCTCTTCTTTCCTAGAAGAGGTGGCAGGAAAGTGCAGCCATACTTCCAGCACCTAGCTCGCTTCTAGGGACAAAGTTGGGACCCATGGGCCTGCCTGGTGGAACCACCCACACACTTTGGGCTGGGAACGGAGCCAAGGACCCGGGCCAGCTCTGGAGCCTCCTGAGGTGGGAGGGCGCGACAGCTGCAAGCAGGTCTCAATGCCCCCTGCAGGAGAATGCCACCTTCGGCCTCAGATTATTCCCACACTTCCAAATACAATGTTTGGTGCCCAAAGAAAAATAAGCAGGTGGGCAAAATGACAAGACAGGGTGAGCAAAGGCAGCAGCAACAAGGGGCAACAGAGGCGGTGCCCCACAGTGGACAGACTTGAGTAGTGCAGCCTCTCCCCATGGCCTACAACCAAAGCCTCTGAGGGCTCTGCAAAGTGGGCAACAGCAGGCACAGTGGGGAGGGCAGCCACTGTGGACCTGAGGGTGCGCAGCCACTGTGGACCTGAGGGTGCCCAGCCACAGGACTGCGATGGGACCAGTGAATCCCAAGAGAAACCTGCCCTCTGGGCCTCCCCAGGAGAGGAACCCCTAAAGCTGGAGAGTGGGGTGTTTCCCTTTTCTCTCCCACCCTGTGTCTGTCACCCTACTCACAGCAGCCAAAACTGCCTTTCTAGCCAGAGGGTAAGGTGCAGGGGTTACCGGGAGCCACAGAGTGTGGTGGGTCCCAACCACGTATAGGAGCTGGGCCATTATGGGCCGGCTCCTGAGCTGTATGCCTAGGATGGACCCAAAGGCACCACAAAGGCCTTGAGGGGGAATGATCCTTGAATGTCTGCCCATGTGGCCAGGCAGATTCGGAGTCTGACCCTAGTAGGTTACTGCTACCCAGCTGCAAAGGAAGAAGATCCACATTCACCACAGGAGATGAACAGTACCCAGCAAAGAACCTCACCCCATGCCACAGCCCATAAACACCCAGCATACAAAGAACTGAGAAAACATGACCAGTCCTCAAGGAAAAAGGCAACTGACAGGCCCCAGCTTCAAGAGGTCCCAGATGGTGGGGCTATCTAAGACCATGGCCAGTTCTAGAAGGGACAAGCAAAACTCTT